CTACGAAGCTGTTTTTTTAATTGGGTGGCAAGAAATGTGAAACCCCCTTCCCAAGTGTCTGCAACTAATTTGAGTTAAAATGGTGGGATCTGGACAAGCCAACTGATAGGTTGGTTTGGGCCTAGAGCTATTTCCTCACACTGGATCCATCCTCTAGTGCTTGTCTTGTGATCCTTTTTGGCACATGTTTGGCACATGTTTGTTTTACCCAATGACTTATTTAACTTCATTATTATGTCAACACGTTAATATGGTGTAATTGTCTAATAATATTAAATAACAAATGGACAAGTGAATTTCATATGCATAGTAATTGTATGATATGGACAAATAGTTTTTTTTTTTTGGTTAAAAAAGAGAGCCGAAACCCAAAAACTAACTAATAATTAACCTATAAAAACAAACACCATACGCATCCAAATCAATCAGGAAAAGGATCCCTATAGGAGATCTCTGGAAGATAGTGTTCCCCAAAGCCAACTGATGAGCCAAATTGGCTAACCAATCTGCACAAGCATTTGCTTTCTGATAAACATGCTGAATCTGAACATGCCAATCACGCCGTAAACAGTGCTCGAACTTGTAAGACTAAAAAACGATGGTCATTTTTCCCTTTCTCGCCCAGAATAGCAACAACCATTTTGGAGTCAACCTCTAGTTCAATATGCTTATACACGAACTCCCAAACCATCCACAGACCATCTAGAACAACCCATAATTCCGCAGACACAACAGAGCAAGCTCCAATATTCCGAGCAAAATCACCAAGCCATTTACCCGCAGCATCTCTAATGAGACCCGCAGCCCCAGCATGACCTGTATGCTTCCAAAATGAGCTATCTGCATTTAGTTTAGCCCAACCATTCTTTGGGGGATATTATTCGACTTGTGCCCAAACCTTCTCTTTATCACCTCCATTATTATGCAGCCCCATAACTTGAGCCACTTGAATTGCACTAACTTTACACCATACTACCAGCTCTGGCCGAACTAGCCTCACAAAGTCACTGTCAAAAATGGACTGATTTCGCCATTGCCACAAAAGCCAGCAGCACACACCAAAAACTATAATCCAAGGCCGGTTATATATCACATGGTTTGAACTCAAATTGTTCCTCATCCATGCATGCAACGGACTGCTGAAAAATGCATGCTCCAATTCTACAGGAACAAGCAAGTGTCATACCTTACGAGCTACAACACAATCACGAAGAACATGCAATGCATTCTCAGTCGTGGTCATGCACTGAGAACACATAGTCGACACATTTAGATGGCATCTAACCCTCTCCTCATTGGTCAATAATTTACCATGCAAAACAAGCCATAAAAACAACCAAATTCTCTCCGGACCTTGCCACCTTCACACTAACCGCCAGACATCATCTTTAGGCTAAAAATAAGGAGACGCTTGCACCTCATGCGCTGACCGAACTGAGAAACGACCATCAGTACTCTCTCCCCATACAAGTCGATCATGACCCAAGCTAGAAACTGGTGGAGGGATAGCAACAATCCGAGAGCACACCTTAGGGGGTAAAAAACCCTCAATATAATGCCAATCCCATAAGCCATCTTCACTTATCAGGTCTGCCACCCTCATATCGAAACTTTCAGCAGCAGAGTCTGAAAGTCTATGGTGCTCTAGAGGCCCCACATCCGGAACCCACCAATCTCTCCAAAATCTAGTAGTTCGGTCATCGCCCAGACACCATCTCACCCCTTTAAGCACACTACTCCAAACATTGCAAATACTCTTCCACAAATACGAGCACTTAACAGCTCTTGGAACCTCCATCAAAACATTAGTATTCCTACAGTACTTGGATAACAACACTTGCACCCATAACTCCGAGGATGACATCATAATGACCCAAACTAGCTTTATCAAGAAAGCATCATTAAAGGCTTCCATCCTCCTAATTCCCAAACCTCCATGTATCTTAGGTTGACACACATGATCCCAAGAAACTAAGGACATTCTCCTTTTGTTCGCCGAAGATCCCCACAAGAAACCTCTACTACACTATCTATTTATGAGCAAATTGACAAAGGAAGTTTAACAGTTTGCATGGTATAACTGGGCATCGCCGTAACCACAGCTTGAACAAGTGTGCTTCCTCCCGCTAAGGACAAAGTATCAGCTTTCCATGTTGCAAGTTTAGAGTGGATTCTATCAACCACTTCCCCATAAGTAGCTCTAGTGACTCTCGCATGAATCAACAGGACACCAAGATATTTTCCCAAATTTGTAGTAAGACCAAAATGCATCTCATTACTGATAGCCCTAGCAAGTCCTCCTGAAACATTTTTAGACACAAACAACTTAGTTTTATTAGAACTCACCTTCTGGCCTGGGGACGAACAGAAGATGGAAAGGCAATCCTTGATCACCCGGGCTTGCTCCAACGTGGCTTCCGTAAATAGTACAATATCATCTGCAAAAAAAAGGGGAGACAACGGTGGCCCATCTTTGACAAGCACTACTGGTTTCCAAACCTTTTTCTGAATTTTGACTTCAATCAGGTGACCCCAATCTTTCCATACATAGAACAAACAGATATGGAGATAGGGGGTCACCTTGTCGGATACCCCTAAATGGCTGAAAACTATCTGTCATATCCTCATTCCATAGCACGCTCATATCACATGATGTAACACATCTCATTCTCAAATGGACAAGGCGGTCAGGCCCACCAATGTCAACCAAAGTATCTTGAATGAAATCCCATCGAAGCCGATCATATGCTTTCTCCAAATCAATTAGACCTTTCTTACCCTTTCTCATCTTCATACTATGGATAACCTCTTGAGCAATAATGATGTTATTGTAGATGTTACGGTCTGGCACAAAGCTACTTTGATTCGGCTGAATCCACTCGGGGAGAAATTGTTTAAGTCTATTGACAAATTACCTTCATTACCACTTTATAGGTCACATTACAAAGACTGATAAGCCGGACCTGGGCAACAGAGACAGGCGTTAGTACCTTAGGAATAAGAGCAATCAAGGTAGAGTTAACTGGATCCAAGCTCTAAACACCACTCCAAGCATCACAAACAAAACGCAAAAGAGATTCACCCACCACTTTCCAATTTTGCTGAAAGAAGACCGCATGCACGCCATCCAGACCAGGCGCTTTTATGTGCCCCCATGCCAAAAATTGTTAATCGAACCTCCTCTTAATTAATAGGAAAGTCCAAATCATCTACATTCCGCAACAAACTAGGAAATTTCCCTCTCATTGGAAAAGGTGGAACCACATCACTCTCACTGGTACACAAACGTTAAAAAAAATCATGGGCTAGCTGCTTCAAAACACTTAGATCTATAACCCATTCTCATCCTTCATTTTGCAAAATTTTTATCTTGTTTTTCTGACGTCGAACAATAGTACTTTGATGGAAGTAAGCGGTATTGCGATCACCTAATTGGATTTTTTGGCAATGGGACTTCTGCATCCAAAGTACTTCTTCTTGGTGCATAACGCTTTCCAATTCCAAAACTAATTCCCTCTCCAGCCGTCGTAGAAACCCCGATTCCCTAACCTCCAAAACCCGTTGAGCACCCCAAATACAAGCCTCCAAGTGTTTCTTTTTTTGAAAAATATTGCCAAACACATTCCTATTCCAAACTTTTGCTTTAGTTACAAATTCATCAACAACTTCAGGTAGCTTTACTTCCTATTTCCAAGTTTCCTGCATAAAGTCCTTGAAACCATCATGTAGTAGCCAAGCCGCTTGACACCAAAAATGCCGATTAGTTCTCACTGTCGGACTTTGATCGCAACAAATAATAAGAGGCCAATGGTCAGGTTTAATTTTTGCTGCATGGATGACTACAGCCTCAAGAAATCTCATGCGCCAAAGAGAGTTTGATAGAGCCCAATCAATACGCTCTTTAAACATCCCTTTTCCCTAGTAAACCAGGGCCCCTGAAACCCTAAATCCATCATACCGCAATTTTGGATCCAACTGTGAAACTTGACATATTTAGATCCCCTAACTGGTGCGCCCCCATATTTATCCGAAGGGTGGTTGGAAAGCTAAATATACAGGTCAAGGCCATCATAAGACCAAGGATCAACACTCACTATCTTGAGAGACTCAATTCATAATTGACACACGACAAGATATCTACGGAATTGTCTTGCCTGTTATGAGAATGACGTCATATCTACAGAACTGTCCACCTGTTACGCGCATAGTGCCTCAATATATTAAGAGACGCCTATAATTGTAAGTCACACATACACAAGGGGAGCATCACACAAATCTCAACACTCACACCTGAGCATTCTATATTCCTTGAATAATAAAATACTCAAGTCATCGTAACCTTTCATAGTGTAGTAGGTCATCCCAACCAGACCACTTTATTTGTGTTTGCCTGTGTTAAGTATCCTTCTCAATTACTGCATTAAATACTTGATAAATAGTGTATAAATTTATTTTGTGCATTATCACACTTCATTCAACCTAAGGAGTGTATTTTATAAGTAAACAACAGGGTGGAAAGCCAAGGCACAGTCACAGTAGTCCCAATTCTATTTAAACCCTCCCACAACATATTCCTTTCATCTTCCCTCGGGTTCCCATAGACAGCAGTAAAAAGCCACGGCTCAGCATTGCATTGCATAACTCGAAGATGAATGAATTGATCATGCTTTTGCAGGACATCAATCACTAAATCCACCTCCTTCCAAAGTATCTATATTCCACCTGCCCTACCCCTAGCTTCAACTCTGGTAGAGAACTGGTAACCGAGACCACTAATCACTTTATCAGCAACTCTCCCACTCACTTTTGGTTCAACAAGCACTATTATGGTCATCGTCAAGAGCAGTGCCGGGTGAACCGAGGTGAGGGAGTTCAAACTAATCTAGCAATTAATCAGACCCATACCTCAAATGAAGGGATGAATAACCCTGGTCAGCGGGGCGTTGGGGGAGGAGGTGAATGCTGGGTGTAATGAGGTAGTGGACCCTTATGGTCCTTGGATGCTGGTTCAGAAATTGGTCAGAGGTCGCAGGCGGACGATGGTGACTAAAGAGGACCGAAGTGAAAAGGGAACTAATTTAGATAAGGGAATGGACCAGAAATTTGGGGGATCTCGGTACTCAATTCTCGAGAAAATAGGGGATATGAATGGAGGTGATCATGGGATTGTGAATCATAATCTGCTACGTGAATCTCATTCACGTGAATATCGCTCACCTAATATAGAAGGACTTAAAGATGGACGTGATGAGTGGCGTAAGGAGATATATCAGGACAAGCAAAAAAATAGGAAACAAGGAGAGGGCCAGCGAGTTGGTACATGTGATATTGGGCCAGTCAAGATTGGGCCTTGTCAAATTGGTAGTAGACCCAATGACCAAAAGTCCAAGAGGAATGGCCATCAGACTCGGGAAAATTTGCTCCATAAGCTGCCGTTAGTGTCACCAGTTTAGGCTATCGCTGAAACGAGTGGTGGTGGTGTTGATTGTATGATGGTGACTTCTGGTGCAAATACATACACTACTGAGAGAGAGTTGAGGGGAGAGCCCGAAATTGGCAAGCAACCAAAACCTCCTGATGGAGAGCTGTTTTGTATTGATTCTCAGCCATATGAAAGCATGCCTAGTCTTAGTGGTACAGTGGTGCCTGAGACAAGTGTTATGCTTGATAGAGCAAGGGTTTTCCCAAGAGTGGGAGCTTCGATGGATTTTTCCTAATGATTTGGGATTCTGTCTATTTGTTTTTAATGTTTGTTTTTGTTTGGAATTGTCAAGGAGCCAAGAGCTCCAAGTTTGGGGTGACCTTCAGGATAAATAGTTATTTAATTGTGTGAGATTCATTTATTCACTGATTATTTTGTTATTGGACTGTTATACTATTTCAATGTGATAACATGATGTAATAATTACAATGAATATTTTTTCTTGGCGCATATATTTTTGAAAAGTCAACAAATCCAAATGGCATTAGCATATTTTAATACAAAATTCCTAGCCTACCCTTCCAAGACCCACCACCATACCAGGACCCACCACCATCCTGGATCAATTGTACTCCTTTCTGAATCAAAAATTAATAATTCTTTATGCACTAAATTTTTATACCAAAATATACATTAAATTAATTGATGAGATTTATTCATTTAATGACGATAAATTATTTAGTCCAAATTTTGATGCATATTTTTTATGCACACAACATTGCATTAATCTTAAAAAATTCCACAACTCTATGGACACCACAACCAATGCAGTGCCCAAACCACTACCTCCCACATAAACACAATCGCACTCTCTCATCCAAAGCCACCATTGTTTTGCCACCTCTCTCTCTCTCTCAATCCTTTTCCAGCTTACCTTCTACCTCCTCCACCACTAAATCCCACCAAATATCATAGCCTTTTCACCACCACTATGACCACCCCATTGAAAAGCTTTTGCCACCACTAAACTTGACACCCCTTCCCCATCCTTAAAAAACCATCCTTCCCCTGAATATCTCTCACCCTTTTCACCCAGCCATCATCTTATTCCAGTATAAAAACCTCCCAACAATTGCTCCAATAGAAAAGTCATTCAAAAAATTTTTTCTTCCTGACCAAATCCTCAACCTTGAGAACCCTTATCGATTGAACCCCTGTCACCTCCAGAATTCCCCCCCCCCGACCAATCCTTGAAATGACCAGGTATATATGCACAAACTCTCTCTACAACGAGTAAATATTATGTATAACGATTACATAACATCAACATTGTCATTAGTGTAATCACCCAATAAGAACTAAGCAAATGGACAAGTGAACTCTATTTTTTGAATATGTGACAAAACGATATTTACTCGTCGACAACTCCACACCGATACTCCACCTCAAACACCTTAATCCAAATTGCATCCCTCCACCACCAACTCTCTTTAAATAAAAAACAAAAGGGGCACAATATTTCAAATAAAAATGCACATCTACGAACCGCCTCTTTGTAATTAATTTGGAATTTTGTTGCTTAATTTGCCTCTTTCACCAGAATTGTTCATTAATTCAGAGCTTAGGGTTGGACAAAGAGGAGAGAGAAGGAATAGATATAAAGCATGGTGATCATGGTCTAATCGCACATTTATTCTAAACAATTATCATGATTTATGATGTCAAAAATAAATTATAACTACTTAAATTCTTGGATAATAATTAGGTTTTTGTAAGTAAGTTACATGAATTTAGCACAAAGACAGAGAAAAAAAGATAATGAGAGACTTTTTTTTTTGGTTAGGAGGATGACTAGGTTCAACCTTGTGACCTTAAAATTGAAAGTCGAGACGGCGATGTTTGAGTCAAACTCTAATCTCAATATTTAGAGATCTAATTATGCAAATTTCACGGAGCGGTTTAGAGGTTATTACTGATGAGTGTTGGTCTTAATAGTGCTTACCAGAGCCAAGACTGAATTTGGGGAGAGGTGATGGCGAGCTTCGTCAGCATACCATCTTCTACTCCGCTGTTGACACCGACCCCTCATCTCTTCCCTCGTCGCTCCATTTCTACCCAAACCCAACTCAAGGTACTCTCTCTCTCTCTCTCTCTCTCCGTATACGAGCACAAATAGGTGCTCGTAAAGATTTGATTTGATTTTGTTTGTTTGACTGTTTCGTTGCCGTTGATTTCTTGAAGAACGGTTGGGCTCGGCGATTGCTGGTTCTTCGAGTGAAGTGCGTTCCGGATCAGAGTGGAGATACGGAAGTGGAAGCAGAGACGGCGTCGTTGTCAACGTCATCTTCTTCTACTCTTTCGGACATTTCATCATTCAATTGGTATGCAGCTCTTGGGGGATTGGGGTTTCTGGAGACTACATACTTGACATACCTCAAGCTCACTAATTCCGAAGCTTTTTGCCCAATTGGCGGTGGCACTTGCGGTGACGTCCTCAGCAGTGACTATGCCGTTGTTTTTGGTATGCTCTTCATCTTATTTGTCACATTAAGTTGTGCCATTGCTCTAAGCTTGCTTACATTTATCTATTTGCGTCAGTGATTTGTATATATCGATTTAAAATGAGGGTTTTAACCTTAACGAACGAAAATGCAGTAAACAAATAAAAAGGAAAGGCATTTGAATTAATGGGAGCAACATTACTTGAAGGATATATTTTGATTCACTTGGGTATGCGTTTAAATATAGTTATTGAGCTTGCAGATTGCAATTCACCACTTCATATCGTATCATATTGTTAGATGGGTTGGTGGGAATGATTTTGATGTCAATGGAAGCATAGTTGTGTAATTGCTTTTGAGGGTGTTTACATTTATCTATTGGTGTGAGTAGTTTGCGTATATCTATAATGAGGGTTTTAAGCTTAATGAATGAAAATGCGGTAAATAAAAACAAAGAAACGACATTTGAAATTATGGCAGCAACATCACTTGAAGGCCATGTTTGGATTCACTTGGGGTTTGTAGTGTGTTTAACTATAGTTATTGAGCTTGTGGGTTGTGATTCACCACTTCATGTCTTATCAGATTGTTAGATGGGTTTGGTGGGAATGGTTTTTATGTTAATGGAAGCATAGTTGATTGTTTCCACTTTCATCTTTTTTATGGGCTTTTTATCCATTTTCTTTTTTTTTTTTTAGAATTCAAATCATTTTTTGAGGATGTATTACCACATTCCCATGGATTTTGGATTTGAACAGTTTTGTCGCCAATTTACACATCATTTCCAGGAAAAAATTATTTTCGTAATTGAGGATCAAAGTTTTGGGTTTCGATGGTGGCATAAAGTATGTAAATGTCAATACTAAGGCTGATTATCTTTCTATGATCCTGTTCTATGTTCAAGTATTTGGCAAACAAGATTGTGGATGATTGCACTAACACATATGTTGTGTTTTAACTTTGCAACTTCCAAAAAAAAATTCAAGAAACTAATTTCTTTATCAGATTTTTATGTGACTATCCTTTGTTCATTGTTTGCTGTTTTCTATTTTTGTTGGTGTCTTATTTGATTTAAAGCTATTTTTTTTTTCTAGAAAGTTTGTAGCCAATGGGCTTTTTTTACCTATAAAGCTAGATAAAAAAATTTCTTAGCGCGTGCATCAAATAACGGTTTGAGAATTTATAATTTATAAACTTGTTTGATTGCTTGTCCTAAGAGCATATTTGAAACCAAAGCTACTTATGTTCTATTGCATATTGTTGAAGTATAAATACTTAAGTTACACCCTCTCTAACAGTATAAGCTTTTAGAGTAGATGATTGTTTAACATGGTATTAGAGTAGGAGGTCGTGTGTTCAAATCTCACCGTCACCTTGATTATTTGAAAAAGATTTTCACATGCTAGGCTCAACATCTAGCCAAAACTTGAGGGCGTGTTGAAGAATAAATACTTAAGTTATATCCTCTATAAAAACCTATGCTTTTGGAGTAGGTAGTTGTTCGACACATATGAATATTCAGTTTACTTGTTGAATCCCATTGTTGCAATTGCTCTGTCCTAGATGTTTGATGTTCATTTGATTTTTACTATTTTTATATTATTATTGTTAGCGCATGGTCATATGTATTGATATTACTCTTTGATCTTATTGCTGTTTTCTGGAAAACAACTGGTTGACTTGAAATGAACACCACTCACGTTGCAAGGAAGTGTTTGAAACAGGATTTCAACAATTTTTTTTTTCTTCATTTTCTAGGTGTTCCACTTCCATTGATTGGAATGGTTGCCTATGGGTTAGTTGCAACGCTTGGGTTGCAGTTGGCTGGAAAGAATTTTCCTTTTGGAATTGGTGAAACTAATGGCCGTTTGATTTTACTGGGGACAACTACCTCCATGGCGGCTGCCAGCGCATATTTTTTGTACATCCTAAGCACAAGATTTGCAGGAGCATCATGTTCATATTGTTTAATGTCAGCTCTGTTGTCATTCAGCTTGTTCTTCATCACTCTAAAGGTTTTTTCCCCTAAAAAAATAGTGTTTCGTTGACTTATTGGTAATTCAACATTGCTGTTCTTAAGTTTACAGCAGTTATATGATTCTCCTTGGGGTTTGTCTTTGCAGGATTTTGGGCCTCAACAAATACTAAAAGAGGTGGGTCTACTGCTATGTGTAGCTAGTTTGGTGGTTACTGCTTTAACCACCTCATATAGAAGTTTGCAACCCATCTCCACAAGGTAATTGAGTCTTATGGAATATTTGCAGCATTTGTGTCATTCTGCTGCCATCTACTTATACTCTACGCTTTTCTTTTTGTTTTTTTTATCTCTGTATTTCAATTCATTTTTGAAGCTGAAATGATGATTGCTTACTACTTTTTAGAACATGGCGTACTTTAATGGGCAGGTGAACAACTGTTGGAACATCGGAATCTTTTTGTGATGCAAGTTATTAATGAGTTAATTTTCATAAAGGCAATGTATTTGAACTGGCTTAATCTTGGAAGATTGATTTACCATCATGACCCCATTAAAATTTGCCTTGTCAGTAGCTGGTTTGTTAATTAGTTTTTTCCCCATCATTTCTACTCTAGCATGTTTAGTTGTGTCTTTGATGCTTTCTGTGTTTGTCATTGGTTAAGTGAATGAGTGAATACAACTTGCAGTCCTCATTGATTATGTCCGTCTGTAAATAAGTGAATAAATGAATTTCACGAGGGTAAATATACTTGCACCAGGTGCACTAGATATTTAGTTCCCTCTTGGGTTGAAAACAATTTAGTGATTCCCTCAAAATTGTCCCGATGGAACTTTATTTCTACAGTCTGAACTCTGAAGTCATGGATGGATTATGACTTACTAGTTTATTTTGTTACTGAAATGATTCCATAGTGTGCATACACCTTATCATCTTGGCAATAAGGAAACCTTGGTTGTTGTTGTTCCATTGTTGTTCATGTGTGTCATACCTAGAGATGAGGTGATGTATTCTTCCATTCTTGTTATGTGAAAAAAAACAATTTGTTAACTCTGTCCGCCACATCTCATAACAGCTTGGCTGAGATTGACCTGCCATATGCCACAACTGAGATCACAACAGAGTCAAGTCCCTTCACTCTTGCTCTTGCAAGACATCTGCATTCAATAGGAGCTAAAATGTATGGGGCTTTCTGGTGTTCGCATTGCGTTGAACAGAAACAGGTACTTCATGCTTCTCTGTCTATCAAAAAAAAAAAATACAAAAACAACAGACTCCATCCACAAATGTATTTTTTTGAACTTTTATTTTAGTGTGTTCTGGGACTTAATAAAATCAACGTTGACAACTTTTACAGAACTCTTAAGAATCTTGTCTGTTTGCTTTTATTTCTACTACTTTGTATGTAAGTTCTCTCCGCAGCAACACACAAATTTTTCGATGTAACAAACAACTAGTTGAGCTCATATGCGGTTGGTTCCAACTACGCGAACTGGGCAAGACATTACAGGATGAGGCACCAACAATTGTGATGCCCTAGAGCTTAATGATGTTATGTGTTGTGCCACAACTCCTTTTTAAAGGTGTCTTGTTCCATTTGGGGTCAGTTTTTTAAGGGACTCTAGATTTGTTGCATGCCATAATGGCAAGGTACAATTGTATTTGGTAGAGGTCAAATGTGTAATGTTCTGTTGGCAAACTTGTTTATTTGCTTCTTTAGTTTTTCCTCGTGTTCCCAGTAGGTTGAATCTGATTAGTGACTGAGTTTCATTATCTCCTCCGCCTCGGGAATGGAATTTTGGTTAAAATTTATTATCATTGCCTGCTTTGTGTCTCTGGCTAGATGTTTGGACGTGAAGCAGCAAAGGTGTTGGACTACGTAGAATGCTTCCCTGATGGATACAGGAAAGGAGTAAAAATGGCTGAGGCATGTGCAAACGTTGCAATTGAAGGGTTTCCAACGTGGGTGATTAATGGTCAGGTGAGGAAGCTCTTTTATTGCCTACCATTTCTTATATAGTAATTAGCATTTTTTTTTCTTTTTCTGTACTCAAAAGTTTTAGCATGATTCTAAAAATGCGTCCTTTCTTAAGTAATCTATCTTTCTAAACTAGACCAATAAGAAAATCTTTCTGAACTGTTCACCTCAACCAAACCCAGTCGGTATGTTGGCTAGTTCTACTTTTGCCAGCGTGGTTAAGAATGATAGCAAGACTTGGCTCCATGCTTTGAATATTCAATTATCCTGTGTGCAAACAAGGAAAACCAATGCTCTGTTAATAGATGAAAACAAACAAAGCAAAAAAATTGAAAAAATAGATGTGTGTATAACTAATGGACTTTGATTAGGTCAATTGGTAGGTATTGCATGACTTGATGGACTAAAAGATGGTAACTATCTCTCCCCTTTTCTTCCATACCTGCTCAACAATGAAGTGCAGTGAAAATACAGGTGAAATTGAGAAGTGCTGAAAAATGTTGCATGCAATGAAGCTTGAGGGTGGTAGTGCCTTAATTATCTTCTATCTTTGAAGATGCTCTGTTTTCATAGGAGGTATTTCTTGCAGGTTTTGAGTGGAGAGAAAGAATTGCCCGAGCTAGCAACACTATCGGGATTTGAATTTGAAGATTCGAGCAAATCTAACTAAACTTTCCTTGTGGGTTTAACTGTGATGCCTGTACAGCTCCTAGATAAAGCCTTAACAGCTTATGAACTTAATTGATCTTCGAAGTTTAGGCAATTTTTCTATAATTGTTGTTCTTTACCAATAACATGATACAGAGAATTTGTGATAGGTGGTGATTCTCTTTGTTGTTGAATGATAACATGAAGTCAGTAGTACTTTCATCCCTCCCCCGGCAGCAACTTCATTCGGCTTACTATATCAGGGGTATGTGTGTACATGCTAGCATGCTATGTGCTCGTACGTGTAATCTATGGGGCAGTCAATTAGCAGATTCAAACTATTTATTTCATGATGGATAATTGGATATATAGTCTTGAATGCTGATTACATGAATTGAATACCGATTAAATATCACAGTTACAGAACGATAATTTTGATTTGCTACTCAAGTACGATGTGATTTTCACGTTTTTGTATTTTTTGGTTCAATGGTCTGAGGTAACTAGATTAGTTTATGCGTATCTCGATTAATTTCTTTTTTGGTCCAGTTAAATGTTGGTTATTCGTGTCGAGACTAGAGTAATTAGGCCTTAACCCACAAACATTAATAATCAATCGTCCAGCAATATTCGGCCATTTTAATGTCCCATAGTCATTTGACTCATTTCTTTGTGTGTTTTTGTCGACTATTCAAAAAATTAATAATATATATAATTATAAAATTAATGCATTATAAAATTAAACTTTTAATTCAAACGGTTAAAGTTGGAATCGATTGAGATTTTGAAAATAAACTGTTCACATTAAATTCAAATCGAACCGTTAAATTATAAGGTAGAGGTTTTGTTTTAGTTTTTTTTTACATTTTAAAAACTTATAAATTAATTTTGGGTAGCGTAATATTTCCCAGGCTGATCCAATCCGATCGCCGCTCAAAGCGGACGGCCCAGATCAGCCTTTCAAGAAAATCCATAACCATCGGAACTCGAAACCAAGAGGACCCACATGGATCAATTAATCACGGCCTGTAGTCGTCAGAGCTGACCAAAACTCATCCCGGTCCAAAACCGAAGATTCTTCCGAATATTCCTTATCCCCCCCCCCCCCTACTCACCGATATCCTCACCCGTTTTTTTCTCTCCCATCCCCACCCCCATCCCCAATATTCTGTGTATAAATACTCCTGTCCTGTTCTCCATTAGTCACCGCAACCCTCCTAACCGTCACTGCCTTTTACACAAGACTCTATTTTCCTCATCTACGCCTATAATTTCTCCCTTCCATTCACCATCTTTCTGTCTTAGCACATTCGTATCTCTTCAACCAAGAAATCTGATAACCATGCTTTCACGCATTCCCGAATCCGATCAATTACAACTCATTGACAAACTCCATGTTTTCAAGATCCAAGGTCGTGATAAATGTGGCCGCAAGATTCTCCGCATCCTCGGAAAACTCTTCCCTGGTAAGAATTCAAATATCTCTCTCTCCGCCATTCTCTCTGCCCATGGACTTATGAATTGGAATTTTATTTTTTGGAAAAAATTTTATGTTTTTTTGTTGTTGTTTTGATTAGCGAGGGTTGTGAGTGTTGATGTTTTGAAGAAGTATTTGGAGGAGAAAATATTTCCTGAGTTGGAGGGGAAACCTTTTGCTGTGGTGTACGTGCACACCGATGTTGAGAAGTGCGAAAGTTTTCCTGGAATTTCAGCCCTACGATCTATCTACGATGCCATTCCGATCAACGTCCGACAGAACCTCGAGACTGTGTACTTCGTACACCCAGGCCTTCAAGCCAGGATCTTCCTTGCCACCTTTGGCCGCTTCATGTTAGCCGGAGGGTAAACTCAAACCCCTCTCTCTCTCTCTCTCTCTCTCTCTCTCTCTCTCTCTCTCTCTCTCTCTCTCTCTCTCTCTCTCTCTCTCTCTCTCTCTCTCTCTCTCTCTCGAATGAACAAGAGATGAATGGATATGTCAAATTTTTTTAATAGAATCCATGTTCTCTAGTATTGTTTAATTTATATAATTAAATAGGTGCGTGTTTGAATTTTATTTTAATTATATTTTTTTTTCAAAATTATCACTAAATATTTATCTTGCTTATCGTCTCATTGTTAAACTTAAATGTCAAATTGTATCATTCATTTTTATCACATATTTAAGTATTTATATATTTCTTCCTTACACACTTATTTTTATTATTTATTTAATATTTAATTAATTTATAATTAATATATTTTTAAAAAATTTAATATAGTGAAATCGATTTTTTGAACATCCCTGAAATTACGTTACGATTGGTTTGCTGATATTTTTCATTGTCTTTTATTTTGTGGTTTGAATGGGTTTGATACTGTGTGTGCAGCTTATATGGGAAGCTGAGGTATGTGAGGAGGGTGGATTACTTGTGGGACCACATAAGGAGGAACGAGATACAGATTCCTGATTTCGTTTACAATCATGATGAAGATCTCGAGTACCGTCCGATGATGGACTATAATTTGGAGAGTGATCACCCTAGGGTCTACGGTGCGCCCGAGGTGGATTCCCCTGTGGCTATGTACTCAATGAGGTGCATTTCATAGTGAAATGTGATTTAACGTTTTGCTAGAGTCGGTGGAAGCCTTTTGGGTTCTCTTTTTGGTGGATGTTGTTTGTGTAAATATTGTAGAGAATGTGAAACTGAATCAACGAAAGTATGGTTTTTCGTTTAAGAAAAATTATAATTGCATCCCTTATAGTTACCCCCGAGTATAATTACATCCCCCAATGTTTAGAAAATGAGTAATGTTATATGAGTTAATTATAAATTACATTCCGAAAGATCGTTTAAATTTTAATTTGCACTTTTAAAGATCAAAAATTAAAATTATACTCTCAAAGATAGAAATTTATATTAATGTGAACCCTCAAATATCAAAAATTTTAATTTACACCTTTAGAGATAAAATTTTGTATCAATGTGTACTTAAAATTAACTGTCATCAATTTACTACTTAAATTAAATTGATAAATTATATTTAGATCTTCTTATACTTGTCACTTAATTATTTTGACCCTTTTCACAAAATAAAAGATAATATAAAATTATAATTTTTGTCATCAATTTACTACTTAAATTAAATTGATAAATTATATTTAGATCTTCTTATACTTGTCACTTAATTATTTTGACCCTTTTCACAAAATAAAAGATAACATAAAATTATAATTTTTTATTAGAATAAAATTATATTTTTTATTAGAATAAAATTATATTTTTTATTAGAATAAAATTATATTTTTTAACGACTATAAAATCCTAATAAAAAAAACTCTCAATCTAAAATGTCCTCCCAATTGGACATTCAAATAATTATATTTAAGTGATATAGTACATTGCATATAAAAAACATTATATAAATATATACATTCTATTGGACATTAAAATGATAAGCTTGATTTTAAATTTTAGAGTATATTGGGTTTATAAAATAAAAGGTAATATGAAATTATGACTTTTTATTAAGATAAAAATATATTTTTTTAACTGTTTTATTAACAGATATCAACGAAAAAGGGTTACGTCTTACATATGCACAAACGTCATGAGATGAAAGAATAATATTCTAAATGTGAAGAGATTCAAATGATTAAGTGACAAACACGAGGGGATTTAAGTATAATTTATCAATTAATTTTAGGCAACAAATTGATAACGGTTAGTTTTAGGTGCACATTGATACAAATTTCTATCTTTGAGGATGTAAATTGAGATTTTTAATTTTTGGGGATGCACATTGATACAAATTTATATTTTTAAGGGTGTAAATTAAAATTTTTGATCTTTAAGAGTACAAATTGATATTTGATTCGAAGTACAATTTAAAATTAACCCATGTTATATTGATAAAAAAATTAAGGATTAAATAACGTTGTTGATCTCACTTTTAGGCTTTTTCTGTCAATGAGCAAAATATTCCCAAAACAAATTTTCAAAAAAGATTTTTGTGCGTGCAGGATGTTGCACAATATAAAAAACGAGAACAGATCTCTCCCTTGATGAACTCGAGTGAGTCAGTTGAGTGATCAACCACGCTGCTTGGGACAGCCTGTGAGGTCCGGTGGTAACCTGGAACGGTAACGGGAGACCCTCGTGAATTGAAGGAATGATCCAGTAAGGCTGGGGAAAGGTTCCTAGAATAAAAGAGAACAAGTTAGAAGGGCGCCGGAGTGTTTTCCGGCTTATCCCCTCTGACGATCAAGTCAGTTTTTGAAAGGGAGAGGAAGAAAAAAGCACTGAATATATTTCGTAGTAAAGAGTTTCTTGTTGCATACCGTTTTGCCTTTTATGAGGAGTATTTATACCTCAAAAGCTCATGATTGCTGTCAGTGTTGTCAGTAGATGATCATTAGGTACAGGCAGTGTACGCACTGATTCTGATGAGGAATGTCTTCCTTTCTTTAACTGCTCGGGGTGTCGAGCAATTAATGTTGTGTCATCGGGCTGCCGACTGTCTAATGATCTCCACTCGGGGAGGATGCAATAAATGTCCAGCCTTAGAGACATTTATTGTCTTTCAATTCCGAGCCTTACCGCATTGAATGCGGTCTCATCAAGGGAATGATGTAATTAAATGTTTGCTTTCCCAAGTCGCGTGTCAGTAAAAGCATGCGGTCTTTCTGTCTCTGATGTGACACAATTTGCCACGCGTCCATCTCTTATTGGCTGTGGATCCTGCCTTCATGTTCCTTCTGACACCAATTGTGTAAGACGAGACCATGATAACTAACCTAGACTAGCCTAGGCTAATGACCTGTACATCAATAACTTATACTGGAGCAGAGAAAAAGGCATTCTGGACAGGGTACATCTCGGTACCGAGGACATGCACATCTCGGTACCGAGGATAGGTACATCTCGAGCCGAGGGAAGCCGTACATGATGACCGAGGTACCATACCAGACCGAGGGATACGTGTCGGTACGTAAAACGTACTCGACACGTGTCAAGTACCTCAAGCGAGGGAGTTGTAAAGTCGATGACACGTGATCTCAGTTAACAGAATTTTTAGTGACGTTGAGGACACGTGTCTTCATCTTAGACTATTTTCAGAAAAGTCTCATCAATCTTTATGCTAAAGCAATTAATATTTGCATTTAACACTTGCTGAAGATGCATTGGGAATTTCTCAAGGTGAAATGGCATAGCAGCAGCCATTACCCAGAAAAATCACTTGCCCAGTCTCCCTAAACTTCTCACACTGACTGACCCATTTCTGTTCCTCCTCATTTAGCTGGCTTTGAACTGAACAAACATATTGGTAGTACCTAAATCAATTAAAAGAAAACTCTCCAAAAGATTGTACCAAATGCTTGGAACCCCATAGAAATCATTGCAGTTACTATTTCAGTCACCTTCAAAGAACATAAATGATGACTGTTTGTCGCAGAGTAATCGAATGCCAAGATCTTCCCCTTGTAATTAACAATGTCCAGATAATACTATGCAAGGGCGATTGCAAACCTGTCTGTGGCTTTAGGTTAAAAGTGGGTATTTACACCGAAGGGGTATGACCTGTTTTTGGAACGAGATTACTAGACAAGCTGGACGTGGGTCTAACATTATGTCCGAGGGGAAACTCTCCTGATTCGTCCGTACATGGAGACGACATAGAGTTAGCCCCAATTAACAAAGGGTCAATTGCCTTGCCCTTGAGCTGCTCCATTACCGTGTCTTGGGTCGCGCACACTCTAGTTCCCTGGAGAATGCAAGCAGAGCTGTTATTGTCCATCAATGATCAGCACGGAGCATTAATTCATCATTATTTGTCGACCGAATTTGATTGGTTAAGTTTATTCCTTGTCTCCTCGAGGCTCGACTGTTAAATAGACAATTATAATAAAATATCATATAATTAGTTCAATTATTTTAAGATTGATAATTTTATGTATATTTTTTAACAAATTTCTTATATCAGAAGGACGTACAATCGTTATTCTCTTGAATATTTATTTTTTCAATTACTTCAATCATGTCAAGTCAAATCATTGATAAAGAACAAAATATGATCTCAAATAGCAATCAAATGTTCCAACAAGATTAATTGAAGTAACAAGATTACATTATTGTCCCAAACCGATAGCCCAAAAAATTAGTAATTCTATATTTCCCCTACACACCCTTTATCTTATTTCAAACAGCCTTATTCTTATTTTCTAGGGCAAGATCTTATTCTTCTCTCGAACAAGGTTATAACTGCACCACCCAAACACACCTATTCCTCTACGGGCGGGTCTTGCTCACTTTCGCTATCTCCCCAAATTCAAAGACCCCAAATGGAACCATTTTATTCCATCTAAAAAACCCACAAAAATCTCACCTATTCGTCATTCATATTATCGGATTTACTCTCATTCCTTGATCCCCAACTGTGAATTTTGTGCTACTGAGTTCTGATATCTTGGTGGTTCGATGGTTTTCTTGTGCTGGGCTCGGCCATCTCCTCAAGAACAGAAGGCGTGCATCGACAAGTAAGATAAGAGTTTCTTGTACATAAATTATGTTTCAGTCTTCAGAATTCGGAATTGTATATATACATGCGTGTTGGGCTTATGAAAAACACCCATTTCCAGGTCTGGTGACTTCAACTATGACAGTAAATACAGAGGAGCTTCAGCTAAGCCCCTGTCTTCTCTTCAAGAGGATAGGGAGCTCTCAAAAGATGGTTTCTCGGTAAACCACGCTCGCAATTTGGTGGGTTCAGGTCTTGAGACTTATGAAAAGGGCAAGATTGCTCTGCAAAGTTGGAGGTGTGTAGAATATATTTCTGGGATTTTTATGAAATTTAATTGAGAGGGAGATTTTAATTTTACAGTTCGATTCGATTTGCAGGCATTTTGGTTTGAATTGGGCATTTGTTGACCCCAAGGTTCCAATTCGAAGTGGGGTGAAGTTCTGTGTTTGTGTGAAGGAATTTTTCCCATGGCTCATGATGCCTCTGCAGGTAGTTTACGTTAATGAGAACAGAAACGCTAACAAGGCTATGGCTTCGTTCAGTTTCGGTGGTGGTACCCTTCAGGGACACCTACTGGTTAGTGTTTCTTGACTACTTGTATTCATTTGTTCGCCAAAGGTAACTTTGGACTTGTGTGGATGTGTTTCTGATTTGTATGATTTACATGGTGAAATCATATTTAAGGTTTAAAGTATATGTTGCCCTTGTTGTCTGTTAACACAGTTAAATGTGATATTATCATGCATTGACCTTGTTTTCTAACCTAATAGAATTATGGAGGACCCTGAATGTGATTCAAATTCTTGCTTGAACCATATGCGGTACCCGAGTCTTTGGATTCTGTTTTTTCATCCCATTCTTTGAATCTATTGATGACCAGAACAAGAAATTAGTTTCTCTACCTCCTTTGTGCTCTTTAGTGAATATGCCATGCCAGAAATGACATTTTCTTAGGTCTCATTTAGCACTTTCTGCGATGGCCTGTAATAGTTTGCTTTCTGTGTAAATGGTGTATCTGAGAATATTTGGGATTATGATCTTGGTTTCGATATTGATGTTGTACCATCAATTGAAGTTTGGATGGTCTAGGCTGTTTAGGTCTTTGACTTTGTGCCCAAGGCAGTCAAAGGATACACCTAGTTCAATGATACAATAGAGTTATGTCTAGTTCTTGTGTCCAATTATTCAGAGTTTTGCTATTCAATGCGCAAGTTTTAGTTTTCATTGTAAGCTTATATTTAAGTTTGATAAATGGAGAAAAGAAAGTTGAAGAAAAGGAGTGGATGTCTTATGAATCATGTTTGATTTAGTAAAATTTTAACTAAGGTGCAAATGCTGGAGTTTCAACCCCATAATGAATGGGGAGGCGAATTGGGTTTATTTCTGATCCCTAGCAAATTTTAAAAGAAAGGTCTGATATGGTGAAATTCTTTTAGTTGTAATTTGGCAGGGTTTGTGAGTGAACCTTGTTGTAACATTCAAATATGCAACTTGAATTTTTTAACTGTAACATCTTTACCAATTAACTGCTGACTAGTTGACTTCTTTATATAATGAGCTTATCAACACCGTTCGCGAAGGGAATTTGGAAAGCTTTCCTCAGTTTGCAGTATAGTTTTTGGAGTTAAGCATTTACTTGTGGGAATTGCCCTCTTCCACATTGTACTACTGTTTTTTTGTTCCTCAGTTGTGAAATTATTTTGGCGTGAGGCCTATTACATGTGAGTAATGTTTTTGGAACTCCCTTGAGTGGTATTTAGGGGCGGCGCCAGACATTTTTCCAACTTAAACCATGTGAATATTAAAATTATTAATATTCACAAAAGTATAGTTTCATTAATGAAACGTCAATTAAAGCCGCAACCCATATACATGATCGCTATACAAAAAGAGCCAACAAAAAAAGTTCACTATAAATTTATAAGACCTAATCACCTGTCAAAAAATTTTGAACCAAAATATTGGGCTCAATCATATATAGTTTAATTTTAACAAACAATCGAAACAAACGTAAACTATGACTATTCTATTAAACTAAACTTGGGTATACGAATTACTTAACTAATCACAATAAAACTATTCAAATCACCAAATCAAAATAATTTAATCTAACACATAATTGAGGCATTTAGCCTTTTAAAGGAATTTTTTTGACGTTTATAAGTGAGACTCATATATTTGTCAAAATATCATAATTACCTATAAAAAGTATATATATTATTTTCCAAAAGAGACTTGTCTCTTTTATGTTGTTTTAAAATCTTGTTTGGATTTGAGAGGAATTACTGGAAAAATCTCTAATAAATTTAAAATTTTTTGAAATTATACTACTCCCCTAAAGTTTTTAAAATTCCAATGGGGGCAGCTGCCCCCACTGTGGATCTGCCACTGGTGGTATTTCCTTGCTAAGTACTCGAGTGCTTTGTTCTCATCTTTAGACAGAAGTCACACAAAGATGATATGCCTGTTTACTGCAGAAGCAAAACCAAATGTTTATTCATAACAGTTTGAGTTCTATTTGCCTATAATGTAGAACACACTACAACATGGTAACTGGTGTGAGACATTAAACCTTCTGGATAGATGCATTCTTTGTTATAACATTGTTGTTTGACCAGATGTAGTTTTGTAGATCATTGTTTTTGTGACCAAATCCCATATGCTCGGCTGCTAAGAAGCACATTAGGCATAGACCTGTGACTGATTCCTCCCCCCCCCCCCCCCCAAAAAACACACACACAAATGTATAAGGTTGCTTTTTTATTTTGGGGAAAAATATTGATGTTCGGAGCTCAATCTGTGAATCGGTCATACAATGCATTCATGCAGTGGTAGATAGGTATTTGTTCTCTCTCTAAGTTACTTGTATTTCTCAATTGGTTGATTGACAGGTTTGTTTTATTATTACGTCATTTTTATTTTAAGAATGTAAGAAGAAGGCTGTCCATGGGCCTTAGCAACACACATTACCACAATACCACTCTGTTGATAGGTAATATTATGCATTCATGCACTGATAGATTGGTGTACTTGTTCTCTGTTGAACTTTTACTTATATTTCTGGATTGGTCGATTGAAAAGTTTGGTTTATTATCATTTACTTCTTACTGTAGTCCAAGGCCTTAGCAACGCATGACTTTTGATAACAAGGCTCTGATATACTCTTGTAATTGGTCCATCAAACTACATTCCCTTTGCAAAGTTGACCGAGAGAAGCATCTCTACCTGCCAACTACTACTTATATTAGGACCTGCATACCTAGCAACGCTGAGTTATCCAGAATTCTATCTAGACTCGTTAAATTTTTAAGCACTTGAACATAATGTTCACAATTCCATACCATTTTTGAAACATAGTTTTTTGATAGTGTATGGATTTAGGTTATTTATTATCATCTAGTCATATGCTTAAGTGAATGAAAATTGCTTCACTAAAAACTTTACTTGACAATAATGTATGTGATGATATTTCTTTGGGCTGTCTTCACATTTTTTTTTTTTGTGATAAACTCAAATATAGTTTTGCAGGAGGTGCTTAAATTCAGTTTCTAATTTTCTTTGATTGCTAATCATATTTTTGGAATGTGGGTAACACTGATATGGCTTTGGATTTGATTGAAAGCAGGCTGGGGAAGAACGCTTCGCCATTGCACTAGACGAGAACAACCAAGTTTGGTATGAAATACTCTCCTTTTCCAAACCGGCACACTTTCTATCACTTTTTGGGTACCCATATGTCATTCTTAGGCAAAAATACTTTGCTTATCAATCTACCATCGCAGTTCAAAAACATTTGTCTTAGTATCTCTGTGGTGGTCTAGTCTTGCAAATGATCCCCCCCCCCCCCCCTCCTTCTCATGGAAATAAAGGGCATTCCTTTGTTGTATTGCTTTGTAATATGATGGACTTAGTGTTATCAAATGTACTTTCTGAAAAAACTTAGTGTTAGCAAATTGTATAAAAATGTGTCAGCATTGCCATCAAAGGAAAACAGTAGCAAAAGTTTACCATCCTCTAAGTTGCACAAACCAGTCTTTCGTGAATCTCCAAGGACATCTTCATAGCCATTTTCAACAAGCAAGAAGTAAATTAATATTCGAGTAATAATATATGCAATTCTTCTTAAATCTGGTAAACTCGAGAACAGAAAGAGAAAAGGAGCAATCTACACCCACAAAAAACACCCTATCACCTAAGCTTTTCACCTGCTCCCATTTTTACTCCTTTTCATTTAGCTTATAAGCATCCAACTCAACAACCCTATGATCCTCACTCCATAAATTGTCTCCGAGCTCTATCTAGCACCACATTAACTAAAAACAGCTCCCCACAGGACCCCACCAGGTGTATGTTTCTGGTCGCTCCCTTGTCTACAGAAAAGGAGATTGTTGTTCCATTGAACGATAAATCGAACAATATAGTTTTTCCCCGCCATTAACAGTTTGTAAATGATAAGTTCCACCCAATGACAGTACCTATATTGATACCAATCGGTCCAGTTCTTGTCTCCTGACTTGTAATAGGTGGTCATTACCGTGAACTCATCAGCAGCCCTATGCAATAGTACTGTTTTTCTGGCATAACGTTGAGCACATGGAGGGGAAGATAACGATGGATTGACATAGTGAAGATCACATGCTTTAAATAACTCGGTAATCCAAAAACCGGAGAAATTCCACGTCTGTGGTGAAGTATTTCCTGGGAAAAGCATGATTTGAAAGCCTGATAGCGGATTCAAAAGACGAAATTTGCCTGGTGGAGTCTTGTATCTTAGCCAACCAGCCTTGAAACACTAGAAGAACACGAACTGTTTCCGGAATCATAGACGGTGTTTTCGTTGAGATTAAAGTATCCGGTACCATGCAGAGCTTCTCTGGGGTGGATCTCGGAAAGGGTAGTTTGAGAGGAAAACAAAGAGTTTCTTTAATGGAGGAATGAATATTGGATCGCCATACAACGCAGACGGAACATAAACGCAGAACATTGATGTGGTTGTCTAGTTGTTGTGGAAGGTTGGACCACGAGAGTCTCATCCACGTCCCCTCCAATATACTTTTTTTTTACCACACTATCCACCATTAATAAGTGAGGGACAATCTGACTCCTAAGAGTCTTCTTCTCATAATCATCTTTAATGCTTACCAATGCAGTAAACCCTAGAGTTTCAAGCTAAAGAACGATCCACAGAGGATCTTAGGAATTTTTTTGGGGGGGTCAGAACAGAAATTTATTGACTCTGATGCATCAAATTAGATCAGCACCTGAATAATATTTTTCTATTTTTTTTTCGCCTTTTAGAATTGTTTTTTTGCTGCCAGTTGACTGTTCCATTAGTGTTCTGGGGGAAAAATATAGGCAGAAAAGAATATGAAATCATTAGAAATTATAATCATATGTTAGACCAAGTTGGTTTACTGATAATAATGTTACTGATGACATTAGTTTTGAGGAGGAGGAGGAGGAGGAGGAGGAGGAGGCGGCGGCCATGGAGATGGATGGGTGAGTGCAGTGGAAGTTTTTCACTTATCTCCAAGTCATTTAAGAGCTGATGCACAGCCTTGTGACCTAAGAAGTACGGACACGAACACAAGATATAAATATGACACGATATGAACATGCAATTATTTTACAAAAACATAAGACATGGACACATTGGGGACAAGTTGAATAAATATATGTATTTAATTTTTGTATGACTAATAGTTCATGAAGTTGACCCAATACACATGTTTATACATATTTTTGTCCAAAGTAAATGGATAAATTTGGCTCAAATGTAATCTAATTTTAATTTTTCCATTAATTTTATTAGACCAAACAAAGACTCATAAAACAGATCAATTATTAAGTTAGCTCATCCAATGAAATATACAAGTTTTAAGTTCTCATTTAATTTATGCCACATTTGATCTTTTTCAAGTTGATAAGGAGATAAGACAAAAATCTGAGAAAACTAATAATGACATGCCACACATGGCAATGACTTGATTTAAACTCGATCGTCGGAGATGACTGCTGATCGATAGACACCTTTGGTGTTCAATTGCTCAAGTTTCGTCTTTTTTGTCAACTTCTTCATTGTCGTTGTT